AGGTCCCAATTTTGATCTCTGGTACACAAAAAAAAAAAAAAAAAAAAAAAAAAGAAGAATTATCTATTCAGACTCATATAAAAAGGCAGATGAACTACTAGGAGAAAATATCTAAAATATATTATTAAGACAGAAAAGGTATGATGTAAAACAACTTTTATTATCATAAAAAGCTGTTTGGCTGCCTTTATATTTACTTTTGGAAGTCCAGAGAACTAGTTCGCAAACTATTAACAGTAATAACTTCTGCAAGGAGTGGGAGGGAAATAGGGTGCAAAGGAATCTGCACGTATTAATTTTACTCTGTATTCAATCCTGCCAGAAATGTTTACCAAGCTTCTATTATGGCCTCGACTGTTTTCTAGAAGGTGAGGCTTCAGCACGGGAGAGTGTAAAGTTCCACATTCAAGGAGCTTCCATTTCAGCACAGGAGACAAATGGCAAATAAACAACATAAAGCCAGGCAGTGGCAAATTCTTTGAAGAACAATACAGCAGAATGTGAAGATAGGGCAGGTGGAGAGAATGGCAAGTGCTTGCAGAAGGAGTCAGGGAGACCTCTGTGGAAAGGGGAGCTTCAGGCACATAAGTGCCTTCCTACGCACAAGAGCCTTGAGATCCCCAGTGAAAATCAACACACCCAAAGCCCTACGTGGTCAAGGAGTTTGGGTTCAAAGAACATCAAACAGCAGAAACAAGCAAGGGCAGAAGTCACAGGATAGAAAAATTTGGAGAGATCTGCTGAAGCCAGGTCACGCAGGGTCTTATGGCTCAGGACAAACCATGTGATTAAGATTGTGGGTTTTTATTAAAAGCCACTGGTGAAATCTGAGCTGGGGAATGACAAGATGTGGTTTATGTCTTTAATGATCCTATGGCTACTGTGTGTAGATCAATGTGAAGGACGAGTGTGGAGACCCAGAACAGAGTGAGGACACAAGGCTGTGTCTAGACCAGAGGTGACAGCTCAGTAGTGGGAGATGGTCACACACAAGGGATTTTAACAGTTTGGGTTGAAAGATCTTGTTAAAGGACTGAATATCAGGTCTGAAGGAGAGGGAGAGTCATCAGGTTTGCTGGGTTATCAACTGGAGGAATGGCAGCACACTTTCCTAAGATGTCATAACAAAGACTACACAAAGAGCAAGACTAAGTGGGAAAACCAAGATCATCATGTCAGGTAAGTTGCTATTTGACATCTTGGAAGTGAAGAGGAAGTTGGACATAGCAGGCTGAAGTTCAGGGAGGGAAGGACTGGACTCATGGAACAGCCTTCAGATTGCATGAGATCATCTGGGGAGGGAGTGGAAGAAAGCACTAAGAGATCTGAGCACTGAGCCCTGGGCACACCAGTGTAGAGAAAGAGAATCCAGCCATGAAGACTAAGAAGGAGAGGACAGAGTAGTGGAAACACCAGTATCCCCTGCTGTGTCTATGCTCAGATGGTTCCTCTTTATTATTTATATTTTGTTACACAAATGAGTCACTTTTATAATTTTTAAAAGGAATCATATTAAATGAGCTTTAAGTTTCATTCCCATTCTAAAGTGTGTGTTTGTGTGTGTGTGTGTGTGTGTGTGTGTGTAGTTCACTTTTTCATAAAAGAATAATCATTTCCTGAGCAAAGAGCCAGATGTGGTGATGCATGCCTGAGCCCAGCACTCTGGGGGGCTGAGACAAGAGGATCACAAAAATCAAGTCATGCCTCTTGGGCACTTCAGCAAGACCCTGTCTCAAAGAAATTAGAAGAGCCTGGGGATGTAACTCAGTGGTAGAGCAACCCCAGTTGTGATACCCAGTACCACACACATATGCAAGCACGCACACAATCTGAGCAAAGAAAACAACCTAGAAATCCAGTATAAAATATGATTAGTTAATTTGTTTGTTTGTTTGGGTACAGGGGAACGTTTACAAGGCA